CACACACAGACATACACACAGACATACACACACACATCTGTCACTTTCTTCCGATTTCGTGAAAAAGCCTAAGTACAATTGATTGTTAATTGATAATTTGAGAATATAGTTTTTACGTTGAATTTTACATTATAAAACTTTCTTTTATCAAATTAAAAAATGAATAAAATAATATTTTTAGTAATTAGATGCATGTAGCTGCGAGGTCCTCATTCCTTTCCTGGTTGTCAATAGTCAAACCTACAAAAACTGAAAGGTGAACATCAAACATTAAACTAATCTCAATTTGTTTATATGTGTGAAAACAAACCAGTTAATTGCATTTAATTAAATTTATTTCGTTTGAAAAATGCAAATGACGACAATTTTTTTTACAAAATAAAAGAAATGGTAGACCTAAATTTTACGTAAAAACTTTTTTTTTCTTTTTTTAGTTTCATCAATTTCACTTACAGGGTAAAGTTGTTAAAAATAAAAACTACTCAATTGCCACTATTTAGTTTAGTAAGTTAGTTTATTTTGTTTTCAAATTCACTTTTAGCAGCTTAAAATTTAAGTGCAACCATTTTATTAAAGGTCCCACTGAAATATGGATGTGGAGGAAGCCTTCCAGGTGGTTGGGGACTACGGTAGATTGCAGCGCCATGTTTTCTGGAGTATGGCTATTCCACAAATATTCATTGCATGGAACCATATGTTGAATGTATTTGTAGGTAGTATTCCTAAATTTTATTGCAGTCAGACATTACTAAGAAGTACTGACACTACTATTGTCAGTAATTCCTCCTCTTTGAGCCATTTTGAAATGAAAAAATGTTCTACTGATCCTGTACTTGATCCATGTGTCAAGTATGTCTTTGATGAGTCAGAATTCACATCCATTGCTTCTGAGGTTTGTCGGTCACTTTTTAATAAATATTAATTTATATTAAGATTGAATTTGTTGCTAAGTATATAAGATAAAGTCAGTTTTAGCTTTTTAATTATGTCTTTAGTTTAGTAACTAACTTTCATTGATTCAGATTAACACAACTGTACCATATTAGTTATTAAAATTAAAACATGACGCTCCAATAATAATAATAATAATATCTGAAACAAATTAATTATCAACCAAGACTAAAAATTTTCATATAAAATTTTTATAAAAAATAAAGTCTTTGTATTTATCATTTCATAAAATTTTGACTGAACTACCCAATAAAAATTTTATCCCTAACAATTTATTACTGAAAAATAACCAAAAAGTGGGACCTAGTTTGTGACTCCGCCTACAAAACTGACCTAGCACAGTCGATATTCATGGCAGGCCTGCTGGCAGGCAACTTCATAGGTGGCTACATCGCTGACACCTACGGTCGAAAATCCGTGTGTTACGTCGGTATATTAGGACTATTTTTTCTCGGCTGTGGAAGTTTGGCTGCTCCGACGTTTGAATATTATATTCTGCTGAGGCTAGCGGCAGGTTACATTGCAAACATGCAATTTTAATTTAGCATTAGAGGTGAAATAGTTTGTGAAGATTTTCATATAGACAACAACACTAACTTAAATCTACTTTTTTCCTGATTCAGGGGTAGCAGCGGGAGCTTACGGGCTAGTCAGTTTCACCCTGCCGGCTGAATTGGTGGGATCATCACATAGGGGTTATGTTAATGTTGTTATGTCCGTTGCATTTGCTTTCGGTATTTTCTCACTGCCAATTTTGGCTTTTTTCGTTCGAGATTGGCGTCTGCTCACCTTCATTACGTCACTTCCTGGATTGGTTGGGGTCTATTATTATTTGTTAGTTTTTTTTTGAATTTTTGGTTATTTGTTGATGTTTGACTTGCTTATTTGGCAGTCGTTATGATAGGAATGGAGATTTGATTGTCAAATAGTAATGCACAGTATAAAGAGGTTTGATTGATTGACTGATTGTTTGGCTGGCTGGCTGGTTGGCTGGCTGGCTTGCTGGCTGGCTGGCTGGCTGGTTGGTTGGTTGGTTGATTGGTTAGTTGGCTGGCTGGTCAGGCAGACTGGCTGAAAAAAATCAAACTTTGCTGTTGATCAGTTGTTAATTAATGTTGCAATTGAAAGTTTATAATGAGCGTACTGTTGAAAAACCACGACGATGTCGTTGTTGATCATTATGATGACGTCACTTCGAAAAAAAATTGCTTATTTTTTTTTTGACACCAACCAATCGACCATTTAGTTACACCCCCGAAAGTCCAAGGTGGCTACTGAGCCAGGGCAGAACTGAAGAGGCTGAAAATACAATGCTGTACATATGGGATGTAAATAAACCAGCCACACACGCATCATCATCATCGTCGTCGTCACTGCTACGAAAACCTAAATCGTCATCATTGTCGTTACTATCGTCGCCACCGTCGTCGTCGTCGTGTCCAGCGCCACCACCACCAAAAATTACTGGCGATGTAGGTTCTAGTAAACCGGTAAAATTAATATCACTATTCATCCACGATAACATCTTGATATCAGAAGAGGGCGATGATAAAAATGCTAAAATTCGGGATGGTCATGTTAACGATGATGATGATGATGATGGTGATAATAATAATGGTAATGATGGTGATAGCAGTATCCAAGAATCATTACTACACCATCCACATCATCATCATCATCATCATTTTGGTAAACAAAGAAAGATAACTCTGAAGTCACTCAGTCAATCGAGTAAAAGAATCGGTAGTGGACATTTGGTCAGTTGGTTGGATATGATTAAGAGTAGAAATCTGCTGTGTATCACTCTTAACAATATGTTTACATGGTTAGACATGTGCGTGTGTGTGCGTGCACTTATGTTTGTGTGTGTTGTGCGTGCGTGTGTGTGTGCTTGCATGCGTCCGTGCGTGCGTGTGTGCGTGCGCGCGTGCGTGTGTGTGTGTAATCATCATCTCAATCGTGGTTATCAGGTTTGTAGGAAACATATTGTATTATGGCTTGACGTTGAAGATGGGCGATTTCAACGGTAACAAGTATATCAATGTATCCATAGCTGGCCTCGTTGAGGTTCCTGCCTCTGTCGTTACTCTTTTTCTGATGGATAGGTTTGTCGGTCGGTTGGTTGGTTGGTCGGTTGGTTGGTTGGTTTGTTGGTTGGTTGGTTGGTTTGTCGGTTGGTTGGTTGGTTGTTTGGTTGGTTGGTTGGCTGGTTGGTTGTCTGGTTGGTTGGTTGGTTGTCTGGTTGGTTGTTGGAAATACGTTGGTTGAATTAATTACAACTACTTCTCCAATTAATCTATGGACAAAATAATAATTCAGTCTATCCATTAATTGACCAGTCAATCAACCATTTAGTCAATCAATCAATCAACCAATTAATCAATCAATCAATCAATCAATCAATCAATCAATCAATCAACCAATCAGTCAATCAGCCTATCAATCAAACATCTGAAACATGTTCACCTCCGATTAGATATGGAAGAAAACCAACGTACACTCATTCACTGTTTGTTAGCTCAGTCATGACATTCATCATCACATTCCTCGGATCTGGTAAACAGTGGTGAATTATGAATTATGGTAATAGTAGTAGTAGACGAATAGTAGTAGTTATAGAGTGGTTGTAGTTGTAGTAGTAGTAGTAGTAGTAATAGTAGTAATAGTAGTAGTAGTTTTATTGTTTTGTTATTGTTGTTGATATTATTCTTGGATCTGCTTGAAATTTTGTCTTTGCTATAAGTCCCTCAATGTTTAGCGTATACAGGGTAGTGAATGAATGAATGAATGAATGAATGACTGAATGAATGATTGAACGAACGAACGAACGAATGAATGAACGATCGAATAAAGGAATGAACCGTTCATTCATTTGTTTATTAATTAGTCCATAATTTTTTCCAACCACATAGATGGTACTTTTGTATCGACGTTGCTGGCTCTCATTGGAAAGACCTGTATATCGGTGTCTGTGTGTGTTTGTTGGATGCATGCCACTGAGATGTACCCTACGAATATAAGGTTAGGAGATTGGTTGGTCGGTCGGTTGGTTGGTTGGTTGGTTGATTGGTTGGTTGGTTGATTAGTTGGTTGTTTGATTGGTCGGTTGGTCGGTTGGTTGGTCGGTTGGTTAGTTGATTGATTAGTTGATTAAAGGATTCATTGATAGATCGATCGATTGATTGATGAATGATTTGATTGATAAATGAATTGATTTGATTCATTTGAATGACTGAATGAATGATTGAACGAACGAACGAACTGAATTGATTCATTGATTGATTAATTTCTCATTTTCCGGATACTTCTACAAATGTTTTACTGATGCTTAGTTGGTTAGTTTTGAAATATTAAAGCGATTGTTTAAAAAATTCTAATATTTGGTGACCCATTGTAAATTATTTTCTTCTTACATAGAAACAAAGCTCTAAGCATATGCAGTATGTTTGGCAGATTCGGAGGCGTGGTTGCCCCACTTATCTTAACGCTGGTTGGTTGTCACATTTTTCAATTTTAAACTACTATCCAATCATTTGTCATTGGGCTATTCAAATTTTAAACCTCCACCAATTGTTTTGCTGTTTAACGCTGATTGGCTACAAAAGTTTTAAATTTCAAATTTCTAGCCATTCATTGGTACTGAAATTTCAAGATTCTGGCCAATTAATTCAATTAATTACTTACTGATTAGTTGATGAGATTTCAAATCTCTAGCCAGTTATCCTGAAAGACATATTTGATTATTAATCTTTGCTATGCTTATAATGAAATGAATAATGAATAAATAAAATTTGAAAAATGCTTTTAACACACGTACGCACACGCATACACACTCACATACATGCACACACACGCAGGGCCGCAGTTATCAGGGCTTGGATTTTTTCATCTTCGCCAGCTCGTGTCTCCTGGCAGCTGGAATAAGCAGGAAGCTCCCGGAAACACTGCACAAGTCACTTCCGGAAACTATGGAGGATATGATGTGAATGGATAGATGAATTTTAGATGAATGGATGGATGAATTGTTTATGAATTGATAGAATGATGCTCTATTGGTGGAATATATAACCGTACGAATGCATTTGTATTATTAGTTTAATATCGTTTGATTGATTGATTGATTGAATTAATAAATGAATGATTGAATGAATGATTGAATGAACGAATAAAAGAATAGATAGACAGATAGGGCGATTTCATGAGTGAGAGAATGTAAAATGAAAGAATAAATATAATATTTGTCTATATACATAATACAACTCTTAATTGAGTGATCTTTATATATTTACGCTGTTCTTTATGGATTGATTTTAAGTAATAATTTTTTTGGAAGAATTTTTTCTCCTAATTTGTACAGTGTTGTTTTATTTATCTTTTTTTTTTGTTGTTATTGCTATCACTTGTTAGTATTATTATTATTGTTGTTGTTGTTGCTGTTATTTTTTTGTTGTTGTTTGTTGTTGTTGTTTTTGTTTGTTTTTTTCTTATTTTCCCTTATCTATTGTTATGTTTGTTTTGTTTTGTTTTTGGATCATCATTATCGTGACTTGTTACTTTTTATCAGAATTTATTATTATTATTATTATTATTATTGTTGTTGTTTTATTTTTTGTTTCTTTTAATAAATACAAATTCATGGTGGTGATAAAATTGCAACTGAATAATTACACTATAATAATCTATAAATACTAAAAAACTTAACGAGACGAAACGAGATTGTACTTGCTCCATAAATGGTTAAATTTAATGATGAGTATCGCACTGACCATGGTTGTAGTAAGAATTTTTATTGGATGGAATCCATAGAGTACGATTAATGACCACCATTCACTAAGTTCTCTTCATGTATGAAATTCTATTACTAATCTTACCATCACACATTTTCTTCAGCCACAACAGCGGTTTCTGTTGGTGGTCACTCTGATTTTCTTATCTTATCTTAATCTTATCTTCTTTCAAGACTTAAACTGTCACCAAAAAGTTGGAAATGACGAGATGAACATTTTTAGGGATCCAACATCAAATCGGGGAAGGTTTGGACATCTTGGTCAAAAATTCGTGTCCAGCAAGAATTACACGTGCAAATTTTTTTTGGTCACCCGTCCAAATTGCTGACCGCGATCAACTAACAAGTTAAGCAATGGTGAACATAAATAATAAAACGCTTATTATTGATTTATTTGATTGTTATTCTCATTATCATAAAAAAATTTGATGAAAAAACATGCAGTGAGAGATCGCTTTCGTTCTATTTCAATTTTTTCATGGTACTTGCCGTAGTTTTCTTATTACTGAGACCCATCGCCAGAATGCACCGTTAATGATAAGAACTAATTTATTGTGTGTTCATGTTTTTTTTTTGGAAACATCTGAGATGGATGAAGAAGAAAATAAAGAAGAATGCAACTGAAGAACTTTAGCATCCTAGCTAGTTTAATCCATCACACTGTTCATGAAATATCGTAAGAAAATTTTACAGCGCTAAAAATTTGAAAGAGTGGTCGGGTCGCTGTTCGAAATGAAGCCGGTGCGTTCGAAGTGTAATGGGAACGCTATTTTGATTATTATTATTATTGTTATTATTATTATTATTATTATTGATGATGATTATGATAATAATAATAGAGAGCGTTCGTTCGATATTCAATATTATTTATTATGATTGTGGCTTAGAACAGGGCTTAGCTAGAATGTGATGACGACGACGACAACGATGAGGATGAAAAAGTTGATGAAAAGTATGATGATGATGTCGTGACGATGATGATGATAATATGGTGACGAAGATAACGATATGGTAATGAAATGATGATGAAGGTATTATGGTGATGATGATAAAGATGACATAATGATCATATCATGAAGATGATATATAATATAGTGTCAGTATGATGACGATGTTAATGTTGGTGATGATTATGTTAATGTTGATGATTTGAGGGATGTTGTGATGATGAGATTTATGAAGGCGATGGTGATGTTACGATGATAGCAATGATGATAGGTAAGATAGGTAACATATTTGCAATAAACATCATATAAATTTATATACAAAACTATTTTTGTATTTACATACAATAAATTTGTTTGTACATAAATATGTTTATGTTCACATGGTTGTATACTTATATACATCTATCCATCTTCGTCTTCTTCTTCTCGCTTTTTCTTAACTCGTGTTAAACACTCTTTTGCCAAATCTGCTTTTGCTTTTTCTGGTCCTTTTCTCTGGAACTCTCTACCTACTTCTCTGACAACTTCTCCTTCACTTGCGAAGTTCAGAGCGGATCTCAAGACCCATCTGTTTTCAAAATTCATTGAGGAGCGCTGTTGAACATCGCGGAAATAGCGCTTTATAAGCTAATTGATTGATTGGTTGATTGATTGATTTGTATACACAACACACGCATACATCATTGTATATACGCAGTCCACATCATTAGTGCGTATACATGGGCAACAATGTTTGTATGTTTCTAAAGGAAGTTAGTATGAGTTTGTATAAAAAAATGTTTGTATGAGTGTAGAATCAACGTATACATGAGTTTGTATATAAAACGTGAACTCATGTTTGTATAGAAAACCTATGTACAGAAAATGTACACATGTTTGTATACAAAACGTACACATATGTTCGTACGGAGCTCATTAGGAATTATGATGTATCGTCCGAGCCATTAACGTGATCTCAGTCTTTCATGATTTGTCTTTTATTGATAGTGCAGCTTCTCTTTATAGGACCTTTGTGTTTGTATGTTTATGTGATTGTATGTGTTTGTATGTATGTTTATATGTTTGTGTGTGTTTGTTTGTATGTACGTTTATGTGTTTATTTAAATGTATATTTCTGTATGTGAGTATGTATTTGTTTTTGTCTATGTATGTTCATATATTTGTATAAATTTGTTTGTATATACATTTGTGTGTTTGTATGTGTTTGTTTGAATGTATGCTTTTGTGTTTGTATGGATGTTTATGTGCTTGCACGTGTTTGTTTGTATGTATGGTTATGTGTTAGTATATTTATGTTGTTGTTTGTGTTGTAATGTCTTGTGGTTTATGTTTCTTGACTTTGGGTTGTGTTGTGTTGAGTTGTACCTTCAGGCTGAAGTAATTTCTTTGATTTCAAATTTGACGTTTATCTGAAGTGCCAGCCAGAATAGCAGTTCTTGCTATATCAGCAGCTACTATCTTGAAAGAAGCAAACATTGACAATAACAACATTAACAACAACGACAACAAAACATCAACAAAACATCAACAACATCAATAACATCACCAACATCAACAACAGCAACATCAACAAATCAGCAAAACATCAACAACAACAACAGCAACAATGCATCAACAGAAATACCAGCATCAACAACGGCAACAACAAATGAACAAAACGTCAACAACAACAACAGCAACAACAACATAACATCTGCAACAACAACGGCAAAAACATCAACATCGACGAAGATTATACGTACGACAACAAAGATTGTTGGGGATTAATTCTATAGGTTATATGTTGATTAATGAGCTACATTATGACGTCAGCAAGCTTGCGTACAAACAAATCTTCAGGACAACGTACCATCATCATCATCATCGTCATCGTTATCATCATCATCATCATCACCATCGTCATCATCATCATCATCATCATCGTCATCATTATTGTCATCATCATCATAATAATTTTAGCTGCTATAATTTTCTTCGTTCACATAATCGTCATCGTCATCTTCATTTGACGTTTATCATTTATTTATAGTTATATACACACATGTACATCTAACAAACAAACGCACATACATGCATATATACATACATACATACATACATACATACATACATACATACATACATACATACATACATACATACATACATACATACATACATACATACATACATACATACATACATACATACATACATACATACATACATACATACATACATACATACATACATACATACATACATACATACATACATACATACATACATACATACATACATACATACATACATACATACATACATACATACATACATACATACATACATACATACATACATACATACATAAATACATACATAAATACATACATACATACATACATACATACATACATACATACATACATACATACATATATTTGTATATTTAAACGTACACTTTTGTACACAAAAAGTCTCGTTAGCGGAGACCTCGGTGTACTTTCATGTCACGTGCACAATTTGATGTATGCGTGTGTTGTATGTACAAAAGATGATGTGTGTGTATGTGTTGTATGTTTGTTTTTGTTTGCATGTTTGTTTGTTTGTTTTGTATGTTTATCTGTTTGTATGTATGCTTCGCTTCTTTTCTGTGTGTCAAAATTTGTTTCATTTTGATAAATTTTTGCATATTTGGAACATGTAAGATCTTTTGAAAATGATGCACTAGATGAATGAATCACAAATTTCATCCTGGTCGGTAGAATGGTTAAATGGTTAAAGCATCTGCTCCCGATGTTACAGTGACCGTGTTCGAATGCAAAGAACTCTCACGCAATATGTAAGTATGCAACACCTGGTTTCACGCGTATTTAAACACACTCTGTATGTGTTTGTTGTGGTTACCTCTATGAATTCATTCTTAGAGGACTGATGAACATTAAAAAAATAACACAATTAATAGACTACATAGTAACATCGATAAAAACGATAGTAATTTACAATAGTTTCAGTATTCATACTGAACATGTTGTAAGTAATGGAGAGATGTGTGTGATGATGATTTGATTTAATTTTCTCTCTACCGTAAGTTCTGCTAAAACTTGCCCGCGTTTAATTAGGCGTGATTGCTTAGATTTAAACTTGCGCTCTTGCCTATATCTGTGTGTGCGTGTGTATGTATGTGTGTGTATGTATGTGTGTGTGTGTGTGTGTGTGTGTGTATAAATACATACGTGTAAGTGTGTGTGTAACTACACACACTCACACACGTGTGTGTGTGTATACGCGTGTGTGTTCAACTATATAAGTTTAACTATATATACATATTTGTAAA